CTTAGCAGCCGGCCCCACCTGTGGAGAGACTTACATGAGGGTACCTAACTACGAGAGACCAGATAAAGTGCGTGTAGGTAGATACTTAAGCGCCGTGGGACATGTTGTAGGTGTATATCCAACTGAAGAGGTAGCGGCCGTGGTGGGTAGCAAGTGAGTCGTATTATCTAGCATCTCCATGTTTCTCCTGATAGTCGTCATCATCCCAAGGTTCCAAGGGTGGATTAGGTAAGATGCCGCTTCAGTTGTTGCAATAATCGGGTGTCCTGGATATGCAAAAGTCCAGCATAGATTGAGTAGAGGTCACCTAGATAGGTACCTACCCAGTAGGTACCTACCTAGGTATGTACCAGACAGGTACCTACCTGGAGCCTCCCCCACATGGCCCCATTACCGGCGCGCGATAGAACAAGATCGAATCCCGGGTCTGACAAGACCTCCGACACCTCCGACACCCCGGAGTCAAATGCCCCCACGAGTCTCTGACCGAGCCCCTGAGTCTGAGAATCTCACTCTCCTCTCATATTGCCGCGCAAGTTGACTGGCTCTGCTGCGCTGCGATGGGCAGCCAACCCGAAGTGAAGGGGCTCCTCCGCCTGCCGCCCGAGATCCGGGACCAGATTTACAGCATCATTCTTCGTCCCGGCAACAATCGCACCTCGATAGCCGATGGATACACTGACTACGACTACCGCGACGCCCTAGTCCTGTTCCGGCTTAACCGACACATCTACTACGAGGCCCGCGATGTCTTCCGCACCCTCAACGTCTTCCTGAGGGTGGAAACCCCGTGGTCCGAGGCCGAGCAGCACATCAATGTCGTCGGCCACGTCCCCATCCTCATGCAGGGCGATCGCGCATCCCGCTTCCAGGGGTACACGCTGCAGGCCACCGTCGAGACGCCAGCCGCCGGCGAGCCCGAGACCGGCTTGCACCATTTCGTCATGCTTGCCGACGACCTGCCGGGCTTCACCAAGGCCTGGTTCTACTGGAACCTCTCGCACCCAGGCCTCAACAAGTGGCTGTCGCTCAGGCTGTGCCTGCGCGACCCCTACGCGCCCGAGTGGGACGAGAAACACGTGCGCCGCGAGGTCCAACGAAAAGTGCTCCTGCCCTTCGGCGACGTCAAGGATCTCAGTGACTTCTCCGTGGCGGGCGATCCGAAACCGCAGCCGAGTATCGTGGCCGAGCTGCGCGCCCTGCAGGCCCTCCGCCCCGACCCCCCTGAGAAGTGTCTCGCCAAGTGCGTGGGCTTGAAGAACGAGGGGAATCATCTGTTGAAGAAGGGCGAGATCCGCGCCGCGCTCGAGGTGTACACCCGTGCCTGGGAGGCGATACACATCGTCGTCAAGGGCCGCCAACGCCACGTGCACGCCGAGGCCTTCTTCGCGCGGGAGCTCGTAGAGGAGCCCTTCGCGGGCAAGAACGGCCAGCTCGAGCGCATGAACCTCCGCCTGCAGCTCGTCGCCAACACCTGCCTGGCCTACCTGCAGCTCAGCGACTGGCACGAGCTGCGGTTCTGGGGCATGCGCACCATCCAGCTGATGCGCCAGGCCACGGGCGCCAATGATGCCCCCATCCCTCCCGAGGACGAGGCGCTTCTGGGTTTCCCCAGCGCCCCGCAGGTCGGCAAGATATACTATCGCACCGCGAGGGCTTTCGAGGAGCTTGATGACCGGGACGAGGCGAGGCGGCTGCTGCAGGTTGCGGCTGTTTATCTGCCCAACGACGCGACAGTGCGTGAGCGTTTGGCTTCTCTCTCATTAAAGCTCGGATAGAGAGTCCTTTTAGATCTAGAGCGTTTTAGAAGTGCACGGATTTGACGAACATTTCACGAGGCTATGATTACTAACGAGAGGCGGCGCTGGTCGTATGTAGCGATGTATTCCTAGTGTGATAGAATGAATATGTGTTGACACGTAAAGCGGGCAACCTTACCTTAGGTATATCTGGGGAGAGTATATTTTGTTGCGATTACCCGTTATAAACTGGTATGGGGACGTCGTCTACGAGCAGTCATGAAGGATCGATCATATACCTCAAAATCATGCGACTTCATTACATGATACTGCACCCTACCCACAGGGGACTCTCTTTAGCCTTCGGTGAACTTCGCTGCACACGAAGTTGTCTTATGAGCCCCGCTCTTCAGTCCACGAAATACCCCCCCCTTAATTACTCTCAGACAGACATGAGCTTCTTACATAGCCCTACCATATTCCAGACCAGCGGGCCTCAAGGGAGCCCTTTAGACCCAAACGTCATGAAAAGACCGTTGGTAAACATGGCCTTCTGAGCCTTGAGCTCCTCGACATCCCAGTTGCAAGAGGCACAACGGCCCCTGAGGAACGCAGCTTCAGGGCTTGCCATCCAGACAAGGAAATGAGCAGGAAGTTGAACTGAGCATGTCCGTCAGTGGGAGATATGTTGCGTTCTTGAGTCTGGAGATGGCATTTACCCTTGTCCATTGGAAGTTGGTCAGCCTTGCCACCCGTTCTATCAAAGATGTCGGTCTTGACCATGCCTGGATGCATCGTAGCGACGAAGATGTCGGGATTCTCGGCTGCTAGAAACTCGAACATCTTCGCTTGCGCGAGCTTCGATGAAATATACGGTGATAGCCCGGGCAGATGGGCTGCAGGTAAGACGGAAACGTCACTGATGATGGCTAAGAAAGCGGCACCAGGGCGGTGTGCCGTGGGCAAAAATGCCTTCGCCACTAGAAGAGTACCCTTCACGTTGGTCTGGAGTCCATCAATCTATCAGTATAGAAGATCAGAGCAAGAGGGCAGGTACAATGCCGTAGACAATGGAAATTTTCATACCTCAAAACCTTTCCACCAGTCGTCCACTTCAGCTGAGGCGATTGGCGAAAGTGTGGGACAAAATCCAGAGCAGAGCACAAGAACGTTCCATTTGCCAATTCGGATGCAGCGTTCTTTAGGCCATCCTCTTCAGTGACATCAACAAAGTAGACGGCCGCGGTGCTTTTCCCGGGCTCCTCAATCTTGGACGCTGTGACTTTCAATGCAGCTTCAGTACGGCCAAGAAGGGCTATCTTTGAGGCTCCAGCGGCGGCGAAAGCCAGGGCCGTCTCTTGTCCGATACCACTGCCCTGTTCCGTTCACGTATTAAGTAGTTGGCCCCAAAGTTAGAGGGATTATTTCTGGCAATAACGTGAGTTGAATCTGCATACCGCTCCTAAAATGACTACTGTCTTGTTGGCAGCACTAAGCTCGGGGCAAGAGGGCGAGATAGTCTCATAGGTGTCGTTCCGCCACGTCTCGACTGGACATGGGAAAGGTGGCTGCATGGTGCGAAAAGCGGTGTTGGGCTGAATACCAGGTAGGCTTGAGATTTGAGTGGCGAGTGGGATCCAGACAAGAATTTCTAGCCAAATTTAAGATTGGACGCTCTGCTTTCCTGCTTGATGAAGAATCAGCTGCTTGAAGCTCTTCTGGGTTGTTAGTTCTTGCATGTTATGCCTAAAAAGTATGACCTGCAGACATTTAGCCAATTGGAGCTAGCACAGTCGTGTTTGAGTGGAAATACGAATGAGACCTCGCCCTGTCATCGCACCACGCAGGATAACACAAGAGGTGTCTACTTGTAGGGTCTTCTCGGGTAACTGGAGCGTGCCCGGCTTTATTCAGGGGATCCCACACGTGTATACAAGGTAGCAGCCACTCCTTCTATCTACGGTCTTCTTCTTAGCAGATCATCCGAATACAAATTCTATTGAATCGCTTCTAGGAAGTGCACCAGTCTGCTTCTTCCTACAGACCTCTCGCTCCATACCTTGGCGAGAGAATACGACGACGGTGAGCCGCTTGTGGAGAGCTCAAGACACCGTGTGTTGGTTGGGGTACAGCGTCGCAATCATGACCTTACGTACCTTATAAGACATGTTGGCTCTGCCTTTGTTCTGTTGCATTATCGATTCTTACTTACCCTCACCTCGCTGTTTATCATTGTCACAAGCTCTGTCCCCCCCTACTACATCAGAACTTGAGGCTACAGATAATCTAGGGCCCGGGGCGGGCTTGTTGAAAGTCTCCCTCCATCACATAATTGTTTCGTCGCGTTTTACCTATCCTTCCTATGATCGAACCAAACAACTGTTAGTTCTACACAATGGCTGATGAATCAGTCGCTAAGAACTGTAACCAAACGGCTGCCTGGTCGTCCGTCGCCGCCATTGTTGCTGTGATAGCATGGCAGGCTCTCTCATATTGGCCAGGCCCCCAGTGCCGTTGCTTCCCCGGCGACGAGTGCTGGCCATCCTCTGCCGACTGGGAAGCACTGAATCAGTCCGTTCACGGTGTCCTTGTAGCCACAGTACCCATTGCGAGTCCGTGTCACGAAAGTTTAGTCTCGGATCCGATCAAGTCTTGGAGGAAGTTATTACAGCCGAGGGCAAACACTTGATCGTGACGCCGACTCGGAACCAAGACCTGTACTGGGCACTGTCGGGCGGCGGCGGTACGTATGGCGTGGCGCTCTCTATGAACGTGAAGCTACATAAGGACATGCCAATTGCAGTTGTTATTCTGAGCTTCACGGAAGCTACGGGTACTTTCTGGGACATAGTACGGATATTCGTAATGAACCTGCCGCCGGCGTCGACGCCGGTGCTACATTGTACTGGGTATTTTGGGCAAAGACGGCAGTGGGGAGTGAAGCTTTGGAAGTTGTGTCAGATGGCCGACTTTGTGAAACGTAATGCGGTCCTGAAATAGACAGACATCTTGATTTCTGGGGTCAATATAATGTAATAGTAAATCATTGCCAGTTGTTGGAGAGAGAAAAGGGCTCTAATCTAGGTACGTAGCTTGACAAAGTTATGACTTGCTACTAGTAAGGGCTGTGTGCTGTATGTAGTATGGGATCGGAGTTGCGGAATGGTCGCGCGTCAACACTCGGGCAGTCGGTTGCGTTGTTGCCGCCGCTCTGCCGGGGCAATGGTACGTATACAGTCCTCCCAAAATCGGTATCATCCGGGACCCATAGCTCAGCGGTAGAGCGTCGGATTCCAGACCCGAAGGTCATCCGTTCAAATCGGGTTGGGTTCAATTCCTTCCTTTTTGCGGTTTCTACATCCTCTGACTATACGTGAGGTACGGGTGGTTTTGTTGCTATTCCAATACGTATCAATGAAGCATGCCTAAACATGAAACCTTCCATCATAATGAAGACAGGTCACAGCGATTATTACTATTGGTGACATGTGGATGGATAATCAAATCACAGAAAATCTTATTATTCCTATCCCTCTACGCCCTTATTGTCACTCTTCGGTTGCCCCTTCCTCGGCCTCCAGTCCACGAGCGGGGGGAAGTTCTGCTGGTTCTGCACCGACCATTCCTGCAGCTTGTCGAACTTGCGGCACTTCTTGGCCGGGCTGAAGTCGGCCATCTCGCCCCTCGGCGCGTCTGGATTCAGCACGGTGATGGAGGGCGTGGTATCCCCGTGACACATGAGCGCCAGTCTCAGAGCCTCGATGCAGTGGTCAGTATGCATGCGGGCCTCCACGTCCGAGGCCAGCATGTCTCCGGACATGCGGACGATTTCCGGGTGGCGGTAATACCAGTCTCGCCAGGTATATTGGCGGATCAGGTTCTAGTCGCTATTAGTACCGTAACTCACTACTCTGTGGGTTGGGGGAAATGGACATACCAAGCAATGGAGCTGGTGATATACTTCCAGTTGAGCGCTTCGAGACCTTAGAGTTAGCTGTCGCGTCTCTCCAACAGCGGCGTGAATGTCATATGCAGACTCCAAAAGAGCACAGAAACCACTTACTGAAAACCCCCTTTCCCGTCATGCCACGGCTTCAGAGTCCTATTATTGCCAAGATCCACAGTTCGATTGATCAAGTACAGCTTTTCCTCCGGGAATCTAATCCCACCATCTACTCAACATGTTAACATTCGCCATTCTCTCTGCTGGGTTGCTCCCAGCGTTACTCACGCATCCATAACTTATTCCATTCCGATTCAAGTTCCGGGGTTGGCGGGCCACGATACGGAGACGCATGGGCGAAAGCATTATTTGGTTCTATGACCTCATACCCAATCGCCTCGTTTGCAGGAGCTGTTCGTACGGCAGCGTTAATCTTCTGAACTCAGTCGTATCGTGTTATTACTTACACCAGATGGTGGTTTGAACACCACATTGCTAGTCTGTCGGTTTCTTCAATATGAGCGCTAGCAGTAGTGCAGTCGTGCTCACGAGAAGCAGTCCCACCGCACCGCTTAAAAGGGTTATGAGCTTTCGATATGAGTATATAAGAACGTTAAGGTCGCGGTTAGATTCCTCCTCATCCTTCTGAAGGAGCTTCTCGGTCGAGTCCACTTGTTGATAGGTGTCCCATCTGGTGGTTATGTCATTTATCGCGTCCATCCTGCCGGCGCCGGGGATGGGGCTTGTCGATTCACAAGTACGTGCGCGTAGACAAATGAGCCGTGTATGAGAGGCGAGTGATTGACGAGGAAGAACAATGGAAACAGACTTTGAATAATTGAGCAACTATCCCCCTGTCATTCATCACCGCGGTTCGGACAAGTGTGAAGCGGCTGAAGCCAGTGCTTACTGTGAACAGTGCTGTGATGAATTAAGACCGCAGAGTCCACACCGCTTCCTTCTCATGAAGCCTACAAACCAGATCGGCTCATAGGAGAGGACGCAATCACCGTAAAGCTCGACATGTTCGAGCAAAATAACCATCTTAACACGAGTGGAATCGATTTAAAGAGTACGGACGTTCTCATATTGCATGTCTTATGTCGCTGTGTTTCTAGATGGGGGATATTTCGCTTCCCGCTCTTCGCGCAATTCAGACAAGATTTGAATAGCTCTAAATCCTCACCCCGATTGTCTCACAGCCGGTAATGGTGATGGCCAACCAAAAAAGGGTTTCAATCTAAATGAGTCTGGAGCCCAGTTCGAGAACCGCCACCGCGGAATCATGTTACTGTATACTGCGTTGTCTCTTTCGCTGTCCGAACGGACACTACACCAGAAGAGGGAGGTAGTCGGTCGATAAAGTGTCGGGGGCATAGAGGCTAATATACCGCAACGCAAGTCGAAGCGACGAAGTCGGAAGGGCTATTAGCACAAATAGGCTCGCAAACCCAACAATTATAACAAGATTGACTTACAGACTCTGTAGGAAATCAATTATATTCAAGCCTCCCGCAATTTTCACGAGCATTATCAGTATTCGGTCGACATGAAGTCCTTTCTCATTATTGTCACACTCTTCGCCGCGGCCACCCTCGGTGCGCCCGTCGGCAACAGCGCGGACTCCGACTTATTCAACTACCACAACAACATCAACAACGCTGCCACCGTTGACAGCACAGAGTCTGACGTGTTCAATTACCATAACAACATCGACAACGCTGTCACTGTCACCGACGCTGACGGTAAGGCTACCAACTCCTGAAACTGGAAGTGTATGTGCTGATCTCCACGGTGCATCTGCAGGAACAAAGGTTGTCCTCTCGAGCCCGTACAGCGATGACGTAAACGCGGCCGATGCGGCGAAGATTTTGGGGGAGTAGGCGGATGGGTGTGTGAAAGCCACGTATGACGATGACGCTGGCGAGTTACGACTGTATATGAATCCACTACTGCTCTGTAGTCGAGATGAATGAGAAACGGAGGATGTTGGAGGCAATCACGTGAATATCTGGTGGTCTCAGGAGACGATGTGACCTAGCGGCGAAGTCACGATACTACATATACTCCATATGCATAAAGTCCGGGGTGCCAGACACATGGCACACTGCATAGGTCTCCGCAGCCGAGTGCCCATTGGTGTGAGTAGCCTTTGATGGTGATTTTAGCCAGGGACACTTATCTCGCTCTAGTGAGTTAGATAAACCTAGATTGCACCTGGAAGATCTACGTATTTAGGAGATCAATCCGTCCGAACACTGTGTGTCGAGATATATCTCGCATTATAAGACGCCGAAGTGTATCTCGGATCATTTCATCTCTTGCCTAAGCCACGTCATAATCAGGGCTGCAGGAAAAAAAGTAAAACACTGAAAGAAAAAGAGATGGAAGAATTCAAGATATTCTGGAATTATTTCGAGATGCATCAGCCGTGAATCGAACACGGGGCCCATCGATGGCAACGATGGATTTTACCACTAAACCACTGATGCTTCTTATTGGATAGAGAGTAGAGTAACGAACGCAGCCCATATTCAGGGCGACAGAGTCTCAAGTAGTTTTGAGGGTATGCAAATAAGAGCTCTGTAGCTTGTTGGTTGGTCTCAACGGACTGCCGACACCGAGGCCGGAGCCGAAGCCGAAGCCGAAGCGGGCGCGATGTCGATCGGCAGATCATCGCCAATCAAGATACATCGGACAATACAATTGCAGATAGATACGCAACGAGTACGGGTCTTGTCCCATGTTGATTTGCCGCGAACTCGCAACGACTACAAGGTTGGAGGGAAGAAATTGCAGGTAACACGGGTTAAGCACATGAGCAAAGTTGCACAATACATAGGTACGGAAGGCGCGTGAAGATCGAGCAATGCATGTAGGAATAAGAGCTACCGAAGATTGGCATAGAAGACGCCCCTCATCACAATTGCATTACGCAAATGATCAAAATGATATTGATGACATCCTAGCAACTTAGGCTTGGTGTCTGAGGTATCTCAATTGTTCATCCTATTTAATCCCTGACGATGCCCGTCGTGCGTCCTTTAATGTTGAAAGACTTATGCAAGTGCTAGATATCTAGATCCGCCCGCCTAAATAGAACCCACCGGGTATGTTGAAACCGTACGCCAATGCTGCCGAGCCCAATTTTCATGACACTGTCCGATGAGGGAATCATATGTCTCTAAACCCACAACGCCGTTCGCAATGCAGAAAGAAGTTGATTCTTCCGCGATGTATGAGAGCAACTCTCACGGAAATACATTATACAGGATAAAGCTTAAAACTTAAGCTCCTTGGGCTGTTCCCAGGTGAAGCTCTGATTGGTACCGAAGTGACCGAATTTGGCCGTCTGGTTGTACAAAGGCTGGATTAGATCAAGCTGCTTGGCAATGGGACCAGGCCGCATGTCGAAGTTGGCCTTGACGATCTCGACAAGCTCATCGGAAGTCTTATCCGAAGTGCCATACGAGTCGACGTAGATAGAGCAGGGCTCGGCGACACCAATAGCGTAGCTGAGCTGGACAAGGGCTCGGCGGGCGAGCTTCGCGTTAACGAGAGACTTAGCAACCCAGCGGGCGAGGTAGGCGGCCGAGCGGTCGACTTTGCTGAAATCCTTTCCGGAGAAGGCACCACCGCCGTGGGCACCCCAGCCACCGTAGGTATCGACAATGATCTTTCGGCCAGTGACACCAGCATCACCCTGAGGTCCACCAATGATGAACAGTCCAGAGGGTTGCAGCTGCGAGATTGTTAGCTCTTTTAAACAGTGGAATTAAATACGGTGCATGACTTACGTGGAGGACGGTCTCCTCGTCAATGTACTGGCTTGGGATAACAGGGTCGATAATCTTGGCCTTGAGCTCCTTTCGTAGCTGCTCGGTGGTGATCTCAGGGCCGTGTTGCGCCGAGATAACGATAGTGTGAACACGCAGGGGAACGACAGCACCGTTATCGTGCTTGTACTCCATCGTGATTTGGGTCTTGGTATCGGGCCGCAGCCAGGGGCAGGTGCCATTGCGGCGGGCGTCCGACATAGCCTTGTTCAGCTTGTGGGCGAGCAGGTGAGACAGAGGGTGCAGCTCAGGGGTCTCGTCGGTCGCATACCCGAACATGAGACCTTGGTCACCAGCTCCGAGCTCCTCTAGGGCCTTTTCGTAGTGGAGACCCTGGGCAATATCAGGAGATTGCTGCTCAATACCGACCAGGACGCTGCAGGTCTTGTAGTCGAAGCCCTTGTCGGACGAGTCGTAGCCGATCTCCTTGATGGCATCACGGATAACCTTCTGGTAGTCGACCTGGGCCTTGGTGGTGATCTCACCAAAGACCATGATCATACCAGTCTTGGTAGCGGTCTCGCAAGCGACCTTGGAGAGGGGATCCTCCTTGA